CACCTCGGCTCTAGAGAGTAGAGTAGAGTAGAGTAGAGTAGAGTAGAATAGAATAGAATAGAATAGAATAGAATAGAATAGAATAGAATTCAATTGGCCAAGTGTGATAGGACACACAAGGAATTTATCTTTGGTGCATAAGCTCTCAGTGTACATAAAGAAAAATAAAATAGAATACATTCATCAAGAATAAAAAGCTACAATAGTTAATGATAGTCAAGGTTACTAGTAAGCTATCAAATTGTGCTAGGAAACAATAAAAACAATATAAATTGAAAGATACAAGCAACATGGTTATAGTCATAAGTGGGAAGAGATAGCTATTAGGAAGGAAGAGAAGAAGAATAGTAATACAGTAGGTAATATGACAGTGTTGTGGGAATTAGTTGTTAAGCAGAGGGATGGCATTCGGGGGGGAAAACTGTCCTTGTGTCTTGTTGTTTGGGTGTGCAGTGCCTTATAGCATCGTTTTGAAGTTGAGTTAGGGTTAGGGTTAGGCTATAATTGGGACCAGAATTTCCATTGCTAAATTTCCATTTCTAAGTTACATATGATTTTACAATCATTGTTTGCCAAAGTTAAGCGAAGCATTGCCGTTGCTAGATGAATGATGCAGTCATTAAATGAATCCGGCTTCCCGCATTGACTTTGCTACTTGGAAGCCTTGCAGATGGTAAGGTTGCAGATGGCCATCAAATGACCCCAGGGTGCCACAACCACCCCACATACCCTCCAGTTGTCAAGTACCCAAAGTTTGATCACATGACCATGAGGATGCTGCAACAGTCACAAGAACATGGAATCTTAGGGCTGGAAGGGATCTCAGAGGTCTTCTAGTCTAACCCCCTGCTCAAGGCATCTGGTCAGATGGTTGTCCAATCCAATTTTGAAAACCTCCAGTGATGGAGCACCCACAACTCCGGGAGGCAAGCTTTCCCACTGATTAGCTGTTCTCACTGTCAAAAAAATGTGGGCTGGTCATAAGTTACTTTATCAGTGCCATTGTAATTTTAAAATGTTGTTAAATGAATGGTTGTAAGTTGAGGACTTCTTGTATTGTGCCATTATACGCTTTTGTATGGCTTAAAGATCTTCTTCAGCTTACCCCAATCTGATACAACCTGACTTTTTTGGACTACACAACCAAATATGCTAGTCGTCCACACTGTTAAAGGCATTATTTATTAATTGTTTGGTATACCACATGCTCTACCACCAACAGACTATAGTGAACTTGGTAGGTAATACAAACTGGAGAGGTAGCTAACTCAGTGTTATAGAGTTAGCATCATAAACATTTTGTTCTCTGTATCACTATTTGTACCTATGGTTTTTTTCAATAGTACCATAAGCGATAGCAATTAATGTTTAGGTTTAGGTTTATTAGANTGCCCCGCGAGCCCCTCAGCCCTCCGTGGCCCCGCCCCTCTTCCCTCGCTCCAGGCCAGGCGCAGCCTCCTCCCCCTCCTCTTTTCCCCACCCTCCACTTCCCCCCCCGCAGCGGCGCTGCGACGTCCGCTCTCCCGGCGGCGGCACGTACGGCGGGGTAGCGGCCGTGCGCTCTCCCAACGCAACCCCCTCCCTCATCTCCACGCACTCTGCGTCCCGGCTCCCGTAGCGCAGCGGCAACAAGAACGTCGTCCTGCGTTTCCCTCCCCCTCCGTTTACCGTCTCCGAGCGGCCGAGTCCGGGTTAGGGGGGGCTAGGGAGGAGGGAGGGAGCATGCGCAGAAGCTGCAGCGGCTCGCCTGCCAGGACTTCCGGCCGCCTCCTCTCTCTTAAAGGGGCCGCGAGAGGCAGAGCAATTTTTTGCGCTCCCGCGTTTGGTGCGTCTTTTGGGGAGCGGGGAAAGGGTTGCATTTGAAGCCTTTGGGCAGGCCGGTTTCTGGCCGAGCGAGGATCGGCTCTTCCCAACGGATCTGCCGACTGCCAGAG